TGTATGCATGTATGCATGCATGCATGCATGCATGCATGCAGCATGCCTGTGCACGCATGCATGCATGTGCATGCATGCAGGCAGGCAGGCAGAACAGGCAAGCAGGCGGACAGGTATGTATGCATGTATGTGTGTATGTATGTATGTTGTATGTATGTATGTATGTATGTATGTATGCATGCATGCATGTATGCATGTATGCATGCATGCATGCATGCATGCACGCATGCACGCATGCATGCATGCATGCATGCATGTATGCGTGTATGTATGTATGTATGTATGTAGGTATGTATGTATACATGTACGTATGTCTACATTTATGTATACATGTATACATATGTGTATGCATGTCTGTATGTAGGTATAAATGTATGTGTGCGTGCATGTATGTATGTATGTAGATAGGCCGAACTGCAGGTACGTATGCATACCAGGTATGCATGCTTGCATGCATGTATGTATGTATGCAGGGGTGTATCTGTAGAGGTGTGTACATGTATGTTTTCATTGGTCCATATGTATGTATAGATGTGCATGTATGTATGTATGCATGCAATCATGTATGCATGCATGCATGTGTACGTAATGCAAGGTAAGGCAATGTAATGTATTGTAATGTAATGTATTGTAATGTAATGTAATGTAATGTATGAGCGTGTGCCTGTCTGATGTATGTATGCATTCATGCGTGCATGCATGCATGCATGCATGCATGCATGTACGCGTGCATGCCTGTATGCATGCATGCATGCATACGTGCATGCATGTCTGCATGTATGTGTGTACGTATGTATGTCCGTATGCATGTATTTATTCATGTATGTATGTATGCATATATGCATGTATGCATGTATGCATGTATGTATATATGCATGCATGCATGCACGCATGTATGAATGCATGTGTGTATGTATGCATGTATGTATGTATGTATGTATGTATGTATGTATGTATGTATGTAGGTGTGTATGTATGTATTTTTGTCTGTATGTATGTACGTATGTATGTATGCATGCATGCAGACAGGCATGCATGCATGCATGCATGTATGTATGTATGCATGTAGGTGTGTGTGTGTGTGTCCGCTTACGTACGTACGCATGCATGCATTCATGTATACATGTCTGCATGTACGTACGTTTGCATGCATGCATATATGTATACATGCACGCATGTGCATACTTTTATACATGCATGCATGCATGCATGCATGCATGCATGTATGCAGGCATGTATGCATGCACCTCTCCATCTATCCATACATACATGCCATCTGCAGACCACATACACAGACATAGTGCTTCTATCGCCCGGTGAGGGGGCCGTGGCCACCGAACTCGGTGGCCCAGCGTGGCCCCCCACCACGGCCCCCCTGTCGTGGCCACCCGCTCGGCCCCCTCCCCGTCGTGACCCCCCCCGTCGTGAGCTGAGCAAGAAGCTTCTCGCAGCCTCCTGCGCCGCAGGGGCGCCGTGCTTTTTTATTGTGCGGGTCGAGCTGCTCGGGGCTGCCTCGAAGCCCCCCCCCCCCAGAAGCAACGTGGGGTGGGAGTAAGCTTGGGAGGAGGAGGAGGAGGAGGAGGACGAGGAGGAGGAGGACGGGGAGGAGGAGGCGGAGGAGGAGGAGGGGGATGCATCTGCCCTCCGTCGCCCACTCATCGCCGATGGGGGGCCAGATGGCCCGCCCCAGGAGCGTGCGGGTTCGCTGCCGGTGGCCTATCGCTGGTCTGCCGGCGATGCCTCGCCGATTCCAGGTCGATGTTCCCCCCCCCCCCCCCCCCCGAGCTGATCCCTTGGTGGTTTCGGGTCATACTTCGGACCTCTGGCGGCCGCTCGGGGCGATGGGTGGCGGAAGGCACCCCGACGCTGCAGCGCCGCGGAGAGCCTGCGACAACGCCCGCAGACCTCGAGCCCCTTGCTTCGCCTCGGGCCCCTCGCTTCGCCTCGAGCGCCCGAGCCTCGAGCCTGCGAGCCTGGAACCCTGCGATCCGTAAGTCGGGGGCGTCCCTCCACAGGTGGAAGATTCAGAAATCGTACAACATATAGCCTGGGGACGCGTTTTCGACTCTGTTTGCGCATCGTGAAGCAGTCGTGGGGTCTTTTTGCAGTTTTCGTCCAGAGCCCGCCTGCAGGGGGACACGCCCGACCTGACGTGATCCCCGCGCCTCGCAGCGGCGAGCGCCCCGAGCGCGCCCCGAGCGCGCCCCGAGCGCGCCCGAGCGTCCGAGGCCATCACCTCGCGGCCCTTCTGCGCCGCCCTGACGACCCGCGGCGGCGGGCCCGCGGCGGGCAGGGGGCGCCTGCGGGCCGCACACGTGCCCTGGCGGGTGGCGGCGCGGCGGGACCTGCCCGAGATCCTGGACGTGGGCGCCGTCGCCTCCGTGTCGGGGGGACGTAGGGCTAGGAGCATCGAGTCGGAACCCGAGTCTTACGTCTCCCCGGTCCATGTCGGGGAAACGTAAGGCTTGGGAAAGGGTACGGATTCCCTCTGCCCTCTCCTCGCTTGGTCCCTTTCGGTTCCTTTTTTGGGGGGGTCTCGTCGCAGCGGGCTGGATTTTTGCCTCGAGGTCCTGTTCGGACCGCGCCCTGGCAGAGATCTGAAGAGTAGCGGTATCGTTTTTTGTTGTTGTTTTTTTTCCCCCCTAACTTTTTTGTTTTTGCATAAGTATTATTATGTATGTTTTGTTGTTTCCTCTGTCCCCCTCTCTCTGGGGATCGAAGACGAAACAATTGCATGCCATCGTTAGTCGGAGCTCCGCGCGCATTTATCGGATCTGCGCTGGACCACCCCCCTGACGGCGCCTCCAGCTCCGCCCCTGGCGCTTCGCGCGGCAAGGTGGTGGGATCAGTGTAGATCCAAGAAATCTTTGCTGAGCTCCAGAAGGTTTTGTTCATGCACTTCTCCCTTCCTCTAGACACGCACGACTGGAGTGTGCCAGAACTCCTGCCTGCCATCGCTTGTCGACGGCTCCGACGCAACTCCCGGCAGCCTGGTTCTCGTGAGGATCTCTCCCCAGCGAGAGCCTCACGCCAACAAGACGGGCCCCCTCCACTATTCTTGAAGGGAAGGTTCCGTGCGGCCACCCAGAGCCGCCCCGACGCGAGCCAGTGTACTCGGAGACTGGAGCACACACATCACGCGTGGCGGGCTGTCTTTCAACCCCAGGACTCTTTGAGTTCTTGAGGGTCAAGGACGACGTCGGGGCGGTGTGCTGTATGCTTTCTTCCCCGTTTTCCGGGGGAGCGACGCAACGTGTGTGCGCCACGATCCCGTCTGCACCAGGATCTGCTCTCCCGTGCGACTTTCCCGTGCGGGGCCAAAACAAGCGTCGGTGTGTATATATACATATATATATATCCATGTATATATATATATATATATCTCTATATATATATATATCTAGAGTTCGGCTCTTTGCTTACGCCTCCCCGGTTCACCGAAGGAGGAACAGCCAGCATGCGCATACCCTTTGGAGGCCTGCGCGCACGTCCTGGGTCGGCGCCAGGCCACGCTCCCGGATCGGCGCGCCTGGCGCCGCTCCCCCGGCGAGCTCCGCGCTCCCCGGGGGCATCGGGGGGTCCGCCGATCCAAGGACTCCGCGCGGACCTCCAAGCTCCTCCTCCTCCTCCTCCTCCTCCTCATCTTCCGCCTCCTCCTCCTCCTCCTCCTCCTCCTCCTCCTTTCTCCTCTCTCCTCCCATCTCCTCCTTCCCCCTCGCCAGCCTCCAGCGCCGATCCAGAACTCCGCGCGGAGGAGGGTCATGCTCACGCAGGTTTTTCCTTCTTCTGCTCTATCGAGCTGCCCCCGAGCTGCGAGTCATTCCTGGGGGGGACAGGGCATGCCCACGCTCGCACACCCTCCTCGACCCTCGCCCCTCGGCCGAGCTCCCCCTCGCGCCACGGGGGGGAAGGGCGCGAGCATCTCAGGTGCAACGTTCGGGGGGATAGGGTCAAGGGTGGGGATGGGATGCATCGACCCCCAAGCGCCCATTCAGGGCCGTTAGGGGCCCGACAGCTCCCACCTGCCCAGGAGCGTTCGGCTTTGCAATCGGGGGCCTATTGCTGATCTGTCGGCGACGCATCGCCGATTCCAGATCGATGTTCCCCCCACCACGCTGAGCCAGGGCCCCCTGCTGGTTTCGGGCCAGAACTTCGGACCTCTGGCGGCCCTTCGGGACGATCCCGCAGCCCCCGCACTGCCCTCGGCGAGGCGCCGCCAGTGGGGAAGGCGCCCCAAGGCGGGAACGTCGCGGAGAGCCCACGAAGACGCCCGAAAACCTCGAGGCTCGAACGTTCCCCTCAGCAGCGGCACTCTCCTGCCCCCCCCAGTCCCGGGCCGGCGAGGCGGCGGCCGGCTTCGGGCCAGCGCGCTCCCGAGGTTGGAGGCTCTCCGAAGGGCTTAGGTGACCCGTCCTCCTCCTCCTCCTCCCCTCCTCCTCCTCCCTACCACCTCCTCCACCTCCCCACCATCTCCTCTCCTCCTCCTCCTCCTCCTCCTCCCTCCTCCCCCACTCCTCCTCCTCCTCCTTCCCTCCACCTCCTCCCCTCTTCCTCCTCCTCTTTCATCTCCCCCTCCTCCTCCCTCCCCTCCTCCGCCACCTCCACCTACCACCTCCTCCTCCTCCTCCTCCTCCTCCCCCTCCCCTTCCCCCTCCTCCTCCCCTCCTCCTCCTCCTCCTCCTCCTCCTCCTCCTCCTGGCAAAAATACTTATTATATCAAACAAATGCATCTTGTGCAGCAACTTTTATACGACAAAACGATATGCGTCGGAACACTTGGATCAAGCCATTAAGAAAGGAACATGTCCGAGGTCGAGAGGGTCCGTCACGGTGCATCAACATGTTGCCGAACCCCCTTACTGGTGTGAACTGTGTAGTGAGGAGTTCGCCACGTACGAAGTGGCGAGAGCGCATATGCTAACACATCTACCCTGTTGACCGTGCCTCAGAGGTGCGGTGTGCGTGTGAATTCGTTGATGTCTGGCTCGAGTGTTTCGGTCGCGGTCTTGTGCTCACCAGGCTGTGAGTGCCCATCGCCCGAGGTGCAGTGCTGTTCGGCCGATGTGGAAGGAACAGTTCGCGCATGCAGGGCCTGGTGACGCTGCAGCTGAGCCACAAGGTCGCTCTGTGAAGTACCGCCAGATTGAATGCACGGAGGACAAGCAAAAGATCGATTTAGCGCTCAAGCTGGGTGTGATTGCTAATCAAAAGGCCAGGCTGCTGGCCGCAGCGTGCACGGTAGAGATCGAGATGCTAGTGGAGGGCCCCATCATGAGGGCCATGGCCAAGGCCCATGCAGAGGAGTACTTGCCGAGGGTCAAGGGGAAGGCTGGACATGGGTTGGGGGCGCCAGACTCATTCTTGCTGACGGCTGCGATCATCACCATGCTGGAGTCTTGCGAGGAAGGGTTCAAGGCTCCGCTGAAGGAGTACTTGGACAAGTTCAAGCCAGGGTCGAAGGAGGCACAGCACATCGTGGGCCTCTTTCGCACCGAGAAGATGTACGACAGCAAGAAGAAGCGTCTCATCATCGGAATGAAGGATGAGAAGTTCGAGAAGATCCTCGTGAGCGCCATCGAGTCGGTGGAGAAGCGTGCGGCATTCTCTGGGCCGAGGCCGCCTGGACATCTAGAGCTGGAGGGCCAGAAGGTTCTGGAGGTTGGTCGCTAGCTGGTGATCGACAGGGACCACGAGTGGTCCAAGGACCTTGAGTGGATTATAGGTGCGGTGCCCGTCATAGATGATTGCCACGAGTGGTTCAGAGACCGCGAGTGGATCATAGGTGAGACGCCCGTCGACGATGATTGCCACATGTGGTTCAGGGACCTTGAGTGGATCATAGGTGCGCCGCCCTCCTCGAATGATGACCGCGCGTGGATCGGTTTCGTCGGGGAGGGTACCTCCATCGAGAGCCTCGTGACCTGAGCCTGCTGATGAAGGCACCGTGTGCTGCTGCCGCCGTCCCTCTCCTCTCCGCCCCGCCTAACTTTTTTTGGAGCAGCGAACTTTTTCTCTGGGCCTTTGAATTCGGGTTCTGTGTTAGTGTGCGTTCTGAATTAGAAATCCTGTCTAGGCTAAGTGTCTGTGCGAGTTTTCGGTCCCCTCCTGCTTCCTCGTCGTGTCTGGTAGTCTCTCTCGCTTTCTCGCCCTTCCCGCTCCTTCGGCCCTCGGGCTCTCCTCCCCCCTCGGGGGCGCTCCCTCGGTACCAGCGCTCCCCTCCCTCGGGGGAGGAGCGGTGGTGCCTTGGTAGCGCGCCCGCTCGCTCGCCCTTCTTCCGCGTCGTTGCTGCTTGCTGCTGGACCGTGGGTTTAAATCTGAGTTAGTGGTTTAAGTTTTTGGTCTCGCCTCCCTGGTGCAGGAAGGAGCCGCTTCGGCACGGGCTGTGCACTGGCTACCCCCGTGCATGCACGGGGCTGCCGCTAGTGCCCCTCGTGGGTGAGGTGCCGAGCTGCAGATATGAGGGGGGCATTAGCTCCCATACTCCCTAGTTCGATCCGCCTCGGGCTCTTGTGGAGCGCCACCACCACCACCTCCTCCTCCTCCTCCTCCTCCTTCCCTCCTCCTCCTCCTCCTCCTCCTCC